AGTGGGAGTGGGAGTGGGAGTGGGAGTGAGTGGAGGCACTCACCCAGACAGAGGAGAGCACCAGCTAGAGAGACGAGCCAGTGGTGCCAGCGCCAGCGCGGGCGCCAGGAGGGGGCGTCGACGAGGTCGAGGAGAGCGCAGGAGAGGTTGACCCCGCAGTAGCAGAGGAGGAAGAACATTGTGATGACTGGGGACACGTAGTCCACGTCTCCTATCAACACAAAGCTGCAGTGCATCGCACACAACAGGGTGGTGGGGACATGAGATATATAGAAGAGCCAGCAATCAGATGAGGTCGAGGAGAGCACATGAGAGGTTGACCCCGCTGTAGCAGAGGAGGAAGAACATTGTGATGACTGGTGATACGTAGTCCACGTCTCCTATCAACACAAAGCTGCAGTGCAGCGCACACAAGAGGGAGGACGCAGCAGTCACAGGAGGTGAGCATGTAGTCCACATCGCCTATGAGCTCAAAGCTGTGAGTGAGAGCGGAGGTGGAGTGGTGTGGAGGTAAGTGATAGGTGCAGTAGCAGTGAAGACCAGGCCAGGGTGAGCATGTGATATGTGTGACATGCAGTGGGAGAAGCATGCAGTGGAAGAAGCATGCAGAGGAAGAAGCATGCAGTGGAAGAAGCATGCAGTGGAAGAAGCATGCAGTGGAAGAAGCATGCAGTGGAAGAAGCATGCAGTGGAAGAAGCATGCAGTGGAAGAAGCATGCAGAGGAAGAAGCATGCAGTGGAAGAAGCATGCAGTGGGAGAGGAGGAATAACATGGTGTATAACGCAGTCGACGTTTTGTATGGGCACTGAGCTGTGGGTGAGATGAGGGAAGGGGGGGTTGGGGTCAACAAACGGAACCACCTCAAAAGAAGCACCAGCACTACCACGTGCAGCAGAGGAGGAGAGTGAAGAGTGTGGCTAGGTGCGGCTCCTGATGGCCCTCTGACTTGAAAGCATTCAGCACCAGCAGCACTGCTATTCGCAGCAATTCCAGCAGCGCTACCAGCAGCACCAACAACAACACAGGCAAAATCGGCACCTGCAGCAGAGCAGGAGTGTGTAGAGTGTGGCCAGATGCGGTTCCTGATGGCTCTCCGCCTTGAATGCGTTCAGCACCGGCAGCACTGCTACTAGCAGCAATCTATGTTGCGGAAGACGCGTCTAGCGTCTTAGACGGTTGCGTCTAGACGCAGCGTCTAAGACGCTAGACGCATTTCAGGCCAGATTAGACGCATATTAGACGAAACCCCGGGCAGGCCAAAAAAATAGTACGGGCAGCCTAAAAAACCTTCTATAGGCCATGGGGAGGGGGAGGGGGAATGGGATGAAGACGACCTCTGGGTATAGCAGACGAATTAGGCTGCTGGGACATTCATCGAGATCTAGAACTTCTAGATCTAACATTGACGCTCACAATTTCATACCTCAAATTGGTTGGGTTTTCTAGATTCAGTGCGGTGAAAATCGGTAATGGGAGGGGGAATTGGTTGGTCACGAAATGGTTCACAAATCTGTTGGCTGCGGGGGACGAATTCCAATTTCGACTTAGCTTTCCGTTTCTCAATTTCTCCCACACCTCCTCCGATGCTTCTTCTAGACCGTCTTTATTTGGCCGGCTCATTGTAGAGCAGAGGCGTGCAACACTTTAGTCCTAGCTGCTGATACTATTATGGGGGGTGGGGCTAACAGCTAGCTTTGGGGGATGTTATCAAGGTCGAAATGGGTGGGAGGGGTTGAAATTTCGCGCGCGCGCGTTTTTTTTTTTCGGGCTGACCGAAAATTTTCCCCCCATGCGTCTAGCGTCTAAAGGTGCGTCTTGCGTCTAGCGTCTAGACGCTGCGTCTAGACGCTAGACGCAGGACGGTCCCTGCGTCTTCCGCAACATAGGCAGCAATGCCAGCAGCAACTCCAGAAACACCACAAGCAAAATGCACCTGCAGCAGAGGAGAAGCGTGAAGAGCGTGGCCAGGTGCGGTTCCTGATGGCTCTCCGCCTTGAATACGTTCAGCACCGGCAATACGTTGTCATTCGCTATCGCAGCCAGCAGCCGGGGCGCCCCCATGAGGTTCTGCAGCGCTGCTCCCAGCGTTGACAGGACGATGCCCACCTGAAAGTGGTGCGTGGGGGTGGGGTGGGGTGGGGCAGAGAGGGGTGGGGTGGGGTGGGGTGGGGTGGGGTGGGGTGGGGTGGGGTTTGAGTAGACTCGAAAGCCTTTCGTTATGCTGCCAGCAGCTGGGGCGCTCCCATGAGGTTCTGCAGAGCCGCACCCAGCGTTGACAGGACACTAACAGCAACATTTGTATAAAGGGGTAAAAGGGGTAGTGGAAGAAAATCTGAACAGCAACATTATTATAATTTCTAGAAGGTACACTAACAAATCCAGAAATGAAGTGTTTACAAAGGTCACAATTGTTAGACAGCTGGCACACACCTGGACGACAGCCGGCACGGGCCATGCGATGGTGGCAGTGAGGAGCCTGATAGGTGCATGGGGAGAGAGGGAGAGAGGGGTGAAGAGGGGTGAACCAGGGTGGAGAGTGTTGGGTGCAAATGCACATTGCACGACATCCTGCCGTCTGTTTGTACGAGTATGCGTGTGCGAATGCATTTGTGTGTGAATGGAATGTTCGTGTGTTTGTTTGCTTTCGCAATTTTCGCTTGATGCATTTGCAGGTACTCGCGCAATGTGCGCTTCGGCACAACATTGTACGCGCTATGAACAGTGCAAGCAGAAAGGACGAGCTCGCAAAGGAACACAGGATGGAAGCTTTGCGGTTCGGTTAAATTGATTGCGCAGATTCAGTTCTATCCAACCCGAAATTGTACTGTTTTGTTTGGTTGTCTATAGTGTAGCAGGACAGGCACTATAGGGGTACAATTTGGGTGAAGGTTGGATGTTGTTTGTCTGTATCTGCATGCTACAGGGCCAGGGGAAACCAGCGGAACCAGCATTTGGCTGGTTGGGCAAAGACAAAACAGGTTCTGTTATTAGAACCTGAACCTGGTTGTTGTTTTCCCAGGTTGGAAAAACAGAACCAGAGGTTGTTTACCAACCTACCACCTGCTATTTTGTCCAGCCAGGTTGATTCTGTTGCTTGGAATTATTTGGGATCATCCCTGGTTGTTCCCAGGTTGATTCCCAAGGTCCTTGCTAGCTAGAACTATATATTCCTTCTCTGTTTGTACCTGAATATAGTCAATTGATTCAAGCGAATTCCTTCCTCGCTAGAGTTTCGTTTCTGCGCTATTCGACGGCGGAATGCTACCCGAGTCAACGCTAGCATGCTAGCACTCCAACGCTAGGCAAACGCTGTCCGAGCCAGAACTTAGTAATGGCAGAACTTTTCGCGAGGCAACTTGGCTTATTCTAAAGCTCTTGGAGCGAGCTTCGTTATAGCGACTTCTCAGCTTAATCCGATCGATGAGCTGCACGGCACGCTGCGCGACGTTCAAGGTACTCTCGTTATTTTGGCTAAGTCATTCTTAACTCCTCTCTCTACAAACTCGGACCCGAGGATAGGGGCTGGTCTTGTACCAGGCACCCAAGGACCCTTGGAGGTGACCCCGAGGAGAGGTATTAAGTTTGATTAAGTCCTAATAGCTTGAGTTTATTAGGCCCTTACACCAACAGAGAGGGGTGAAGCCAGGTGAAGAGGTTTGAAGAGTTTTGAGATGTTTCAAGATCCGACGCGGGAAGACAGCATTCCGTGGGGTGTGTGGTGCTTTGAAACAGTTGGGTCTGGATGGTGCGTTTTGAGGTGCCCAAAAAGCTCCAAACAGAAGGATGGAGCCCACATAGAGACGATAAGACGATAACCGCTTGAATGCCCGTGGGGTGGGGATGGATGGACCGCTGTGTGTCCCTCACACACACCCATCCATCTCCACCGTTCTTTACCCACCTGTCAGTGACGAGCAGGTCCCTGGTTGCAACGGCACCAAACAGAAGGAAGGATGGAGCCCACATAGAGACGATGTCCGCTACAGTGCCCGTGGGGATGGACCGAGTACAAGGCGCCTGTCGACTCACACAGACCCATCTCCACCACTCTCGACCCACCCAACCTCCTAACCTGTCGGTGACAAGCAGGACCCTGGTGGCAATGGTGCCAAACAGCAGAGCAGAATGGAGCCCACATAGAGCGCCGTCATTGAGACGATGGCTGCTAGAGTGCCCGTGGGGAATGGATAAACTGGGTATGAGGCAATTCACACCCATCTCCACCGCTCTCAACTCATCCTGTGGGGATGGATGGATGGACCGAGTATAAGTCAACGCACACTCATATCCACCACTCTTCACCCACCTGTCAGAAACAAGCAGGTCCCTGGTAGCAACAGCCCCAAGCAGCAGAATAGAGCCCACATAGAGCGCTGTCATTGAGACAATGACCGCCAGAGTCCCCGTGGGGATGGACCGCTGTGTAAGTTACCTACACACCCATTTCCACCGCCCTCAAACCACCCACTTTCCTTACCTGTCAGTGACAAGCAGGTCCCTGGTTGCGACAGCACCAAACAGCAGAATAGAGCCCACATAGAGCGCTGCCATTGAGACAATGGCCGCCAGAGTCCCCGTGGGGATGGACCGCTGTGTAAGTTACCTACACACCCATTTCCACCGCCCTCAAACCACCCACTTTCCTTACCTGTCAGTGACAAGCAGGTCCCTGGTTGCGACAGCACCAAACAGCAGAATAGAGCCCACATAGAGCGCTGTCATTGAGACAATGGCCGCCAGAGTCCCTGTGGGGATGGACTGCTGTGTAAGTTACCTACACACCCATTTCCACCGCCCTCAACCCACCCACTTTCCTTACCTGTCAGTGACAAGCAGGTCCCTGGTGGCGACAGCACCGAACAGCAGGATGGAGACCACATAGAGACCAGTCATTGACACGATGGCTGCCAGAGTCCCCGTGGGTGGGGATGGACTGCTGTGTGCCCCTCAGCGCCTCTGAATCTCTCAAAAGCGACTCAGATTTAACTACCGCCCTTACCTGTCAGTGACAAGCAGGTCCCTGGTAGCGACAGCACCAAACAGCAGGATGGAGACCACGTAGAGACCAGTCATTGACACGATGGCTGCCAGGGTCCCTGTGGGGATAGACCGCTGTGTGTCCCTCAGCGCCTCTGAGCGGTTGGATCCCGCCATGATGCCTGTGACGCCCGGGTAGAAGAGGCCCAGCAGCTGGCTGTGTGGACGAGTGTAGGGGCAGAGGAAGAGCGAGGTAGGGGAAGCGGGTGGGAATGGAACAGGACGAAAAGCAGTCAGATGTGTCCCTCAGCGCCTCTGAGCGGTTACTTCCAGCCATGATGCCAGTAACTCTCGGATAGAAGAGCCCCAGCAGCTAGCTAGGAGTGGGAGGAAGTATGGCAGGGTATGGATGGTCAGGATGGGGAGGAGGAGAGTCATAAACAGCATGAGCTAACAGGAGAGAGATCAATCCACATGTCGATCAGAACCTCTGACTGGTTGGATCCCGCCATGATGCCTTTCACGCCTGGGTAGAAGAGCCCCAGAAGCTGGCTGCAGGTGTGGGGTGTAGCAGGATACGCAAGGGTACGCAAGGGTACGCAAGGGTACGCAAGAGTACGGAGGAGTATAAGGGGGGATGAGGCCAAGTCAAGCGTGTCCCTCAGCGCCTCTGAGCGGCTGGATCCCGCCATGATGCCTGTCACTCCTGGATAAAAGAGACCCAGCAGCTGGCTGTGGGGGCGAGGGTTGTGAAAACAAAGGAGAGGTTGGGTAGAACGGAACGGGATGAGGTCAAGAAACAGATGTATCCCTCAACGCCTCTGAACGGTTAATTCCGCCATGATGCCAGTCACTCCCTCCCGGGTAGAAGAGCCCCAGCAGCTGGCTGTGGGAGGGGTAGGGTATGGATGGGTACGGAAGGGTGCAGAGGAGAATGGGTAGGTTATGGATGGGTAAGAGATATATTTGATGTGGTCAAATCCATCTCTCGGATCAGAGCCTCTGAGCTGTTGGACCTGGCCATGATGCCAGTCACGCCAGGTCAGAAGAGCCCCAGGACCTGGCTGAATGTGTGGGGTGTTGCAAGGTACGCAAGGGTATGGAGGGGTACGGAGGAGTATAAAGGGGGATCAGGCCAAGCCAAGCATGTCCCTCAGCACGAGCGGTTGGATCCCGCCATGATGCCTGTGACTCCTGGATAGAAAAGTTCCAGCAGCTGACTGCAGGTGTGGGAAGTGGCAGGGTACGCAAGGGTACAGACGAGTAAGGAGTATAACAGGGATGAGGCCCAGCGTGTTCCTCGTGCTGTGAGGCGAGTATTCGTGATGTGAGGCGAGTATTCGTGATGTGAGGCGAGTATTCGTGATGTGAGGCGAGTATTCGTGATGTGAGGCGAGTATTCGTGATGTGAGGCGAGTATTCGTGATGTGAGGCGAGTATTCGTGATGTGAGGCGAGTATTCGTGATGTGAGGCGAGTATTCGTGATGTGAGGCGAGTATTCGTGATGTGAGGCGAGTATTCGTGATGTGAGGCGAGTATTCGTGATGTGAGGCGAGTATTCGTGATGTGAGGCGAGTATTCGTGATGTGAGGCGAGTATTCGTGATGTGAGGCGAGTATTCGTGATGTGAGGCGAGTATTCGTGATGTGAGGCGAGTATTCGTGATGTGAGGCGAGTATTCGTGATGTGAGGCGAGTATTCGTGATGTGAGGCGAGTATTCGTGATGTGAGGCGAGTATTCGTGATGTGAGGCGAGTATTCGTGATGTGAGGCGAGTATTCGTGATGTGAGGCGAGTATTCGTGATGTGAGGCGAATATTCGCGATGTGAGGCGAGTATTCGTTATGTGAGGCGAGTATTCGTGATGTGAGGCGAGTATTCGTGATGTGAGGCGAATATTCGCGATGTGAGGTGAGTATTCGTGATGTGAGGCGAGTATTCGTGATGTGAGGCGAGTATTCGTGATGTGAGGCGAGTATTCGTGATGTGAGGCGAGTATTCGTGATGTGAGGCGAGTATTCGTGATGTGAGGCGAGTATTCGTGATGTGAGGCGAGTATTCGTGATGTGAGGCGAGTATTCGTGATGTGAGGCGAGTATTCGTGATGTGAGGCGAGTATTCGTGATGTGAGGCGAGTATTCGTGATGTGAGGCGAGTATTCGTGATGTGAGGCGAGTATTCGTGATGTGAGGCGAGTATTCGTGATGTGAGGCGAGTATTCGTGATGTGAGGCGAGTATTCGTGATGTGAGGCGAGTATTCGTGATGTGAGGCGAGTATTCGTGATGTGAGGCGAGTATTCGTGATGTGAGGCGAGTATTCGTGATGTGAGGCGAGTATTCGTGATGTGAGGCGAGTGTTCGCGATGTCAGGCGAGTGTTCGTGATGTGAGGCGAGTGTTCGCGATGTGAGGCGAATATTCGCGATGTGAGGCGAGTGTTCGTGCTGTGAGGCGAGTGTTCGTGATGTGAGGCGAGTATTCGTGATGTGAGGCGAGTATTCGTGATGTGAGGCGAGTATTCGTGATGTGAGGCGAGTATTCGTGATGTGAGGCGAGTATTCGTGATGTGAGGCGAGTATTCGTGATGTGAGGCGAGTATTCGTGATGTGAGGCGAGTATTCGTGATGTGAGGCGAGTATTCGTGATGTGAGGCGAGTATTCGTGATGTGAGGCGAGTATTCGTGATGTGAGGCGAGTATTCGTGATGTGAGGCGAGTATTCGTGATGTGAGGCGAGTATTCGTGATGTGAGGCGAGTATTCGTGATGTGAGGCGAGTATTCGTGATGTGAGGCGAGTATTCGTGATGTGAGGCGAGTATTCGTGATGTGAGGCGAGTATTCGTGATGTGAGGCGAGTATTCGTGATGTGAGGCGAGTATTCGTGATGTGAGGCGAGTATTCGTGATGTGAGGCGAGTATTCGTGATGTGAGGCGAATATTCGCGATGTGAGGCGAGTATTCGTTCTGTGAGGCGAGTATTCGTGATGTGAGGCGAGTATTCGTGATGTGAGGCGAATATTCGCGATGTGAGGTGAGTATTCGTGATGTGAGGCGAGTATTCGTGATGTGAGGCGAGTATTCGTGATGTGAGGCGAGTATTCGTGATGTGAGGCGAGTATTCGTGATGTGAGGCGAGTATTCGTGATGTGAGGCGAGTATTCGTGATGTGAGGCGAATATTCGCGATGTGAGGCGAGTATTCGTTCTGTGAGGCGAGTATTCGTGATGTGAGGCGAGTATTCGTGATGTGAGGCGAATATTCGCGATGTGAGGTGAGTATTCGTGATGTGAGGCGAGTATTCGTGATGTGAGGCGAGTATTCGTGATGTGAGGCGAGTATTCGTGATGTGAGGCGAGTATTCGTGATGTGAGGCGAGTATTCGTGATGTGAGGCGAGTATTCGTGATGTGAGGCGAGTATTCGTGATGTGAGGCGAGTATTCGTGATGTGAGGCGAGTATTCGTGATGTGAGGCGAGTATTCGTGATGTGAGGCGAGTATTCGTGATGTGAGGCGAGTATTCGTGATGTGAGGCGAGTATTCGTGATGTGAGGCGAGTATTCGTGATGTGAGGCGAGTATTCGTGATGTGAGGCGAGTATTCGTGATGTGAGGCGAGTATTCGTGATGTGAGGCGAGTATTCGTGATGTGAGGCGAGTATTCGTGATGTGAGGCGAGTATTCGTGATGTGAGGCGAGTATTCGTGATGTGAGGCGAGTGTTCGCGATGTCAGGCGAGTGTTCGTGATGTGAGGCGAATATTCGCGATGTGAGGCGAGTGTTCGCGATGTGAGGCGAGTGTTCGTGCTGTGAGGCGAGTATTCGTGATGTGAGGCGAGTATTCGTGATGTGAGGCGAGTATTCGTGATGTGAGGCGAGTATTCGTGATGTGAGGCGAGTATTCGTGATGTGAGGCGAGTATTCGTGATGTGAGGCGAGTATTCGTGATGTGAGGCGAGTATTCGTGATGTGAGGCGAGTATTCGTGATGTGAGGCGAGTATTCGTGATGTGAGGCGAGTATTCGTGATGTGAGGCGAGTATTCGTGATGTGAGGCGAGTATTCGTGATGTGAGGCGAGTATTCGTGATGTGAGGCGAGTATTCGTGATGTGAGGCGAGTATTCGTGATGTGAGGCGAGTATTCGTGATGTGAGGCGAGTATTCGTGATGTGAGGCGAGTATTCGTGATGTGAGGCGAGTATTCGTGATGTGAGGCGAGTATTCGTGATGTGAGGCGAGTATTCGTGATGTGAGGCGAGTATTCGTGATGTGAGGCGAGTATTCGTGATGTGAGGCGAGTATTCGTGATGTGAGGCGAGTATTCGTGATGTGAGGCGAGTATTCGTGATGTGAGGCGAGTGTTCGCGATGTCAGGCGAGTGTTCGTGATGTGAGGCGAGTGTTCGCGATGTGAGGCGAGTGTTCGCGATGTGAGGCGAGTGTTCGTGCTGTGAGGCGAGTGTTCGTGATGTGAGGCGAGTGTTCGTGATGTGCGGCGAGTATTCGTGATGTGCGGCGAGTATTCGTGATGCGAGGCGAGTATTCGTGATGCGAGGCGAGTATTCGTGATGTGAGGCGAGTATTCGTGATGTGAGGCGAGTATTCGTGATGTGAGGCGAGTATTCGTGATGTGAGGCGAGTATTCGTGATGTGAGGCGAGTATTCGTGATGTGAGGCGAGTATTCGTGATGTGAGGCGAGTATTCGTGATGTGAGGCGAGTATTCGTGATGTGAGGCGAGTATTCGTGATGTGAGGCGAGTATTCGTGATGTGAGGCGAGTATTCGTGATGTGAGGCGAGTATTCGTGATGTGAGGCGAGTATTCGTGATGTGAGGCGAGTATTCGTGATGTGAGGCGAGTATTCGTGATGTGAGGCGAGTATTCGTGATGTGAGGCGAGTATTCGTGATGTGAGGCGAGTATTCGTGATGTGAGGCGAATATTCGCGATGTGAGGCGAGTATTCGTTATGTGAGGCGAGTATTCGTGATGTGAGGCGAGTATTCGTGATGTGAGGCGAATATTCGCGATGTGAGGTGAGTATTCGTGATGTGAGGCGAGTATTCGTGATGTGAGGCGAGTATTCGTGATGTGAGGCGAGTATTCGTGATGTGAGGCGAGTATTCGTGATGTGAGGCGAGTATTCGTGATGTGAGGCGAGTATTCGTGATGTGAGGCGAGTATTCGTGATGTGAGGCGAGTATTCGTGATGTGAGGCGAGTATTCGTGATGTGAGGCGAGTATTCGTGATGTGAGGCGAGTATTCGTGATGTGAGGCGAGTATTCGTGATGTGAGGCGAGTATTCGTGATGTGAGGCGAGTATTCGTGATGTGAGGCGAGTATTCGTGATGTGAGGCGAGTATTCGTGATGTGAGGCGAGTATTCGTGATGTGAGGCGAGTATTCGTGATGTGAGGCGAGTATTCGTGATGTGAGGCGAGTATTCGTGATGTGAGGCGAGTATTCGTGATGTGAGGCGAGTGTTCGCAATGTCAGGCGAGTGTTCGTGATGTGAGGCGAATATTCGCGATGTGAGGCGAGTGTTCGCGATGTGAGGCGAGTGTTCGTGCTGTGAGGCGAGTATTCGTGATGTGAGGCGAGTATTCGTGATGTGAGGCGAGTATTCGTGATGTGAGGCGAGTATTCGTGATGTGAGGCGAGTATTCGTGATGTGAGGCGAGTATTCGTGATGTGAGGCTAATATTCGTGATGTGAGGCGAGTATTCGTGATGTGAGGCGAGTATTCGTGATGTGAGGCGAGTATTCGTGATGTGAGGCGAGTATTCGTGATGTGAGGCGAGTATTCGTGATGTGAGGCGAGTATTCGTGATGTGAGGCGAGTATTCGTGATGTGAGGCGAGTATTCGTGATGTGAGGCGAGTATTCGTGATGTGAGGCGAGTATTCGTGATGTGAGGCGAGTATTCGTGATGTGAGGCGAGTATTCGTGATGTGAGGCGAGTATTCGTGATGTGAGGCGAGTATTCGTGATGTGAGGCGAGTATTCGTGATGTGAGGCGAGTATTCGTGATGTGAGGCGAGTATTCGTGATGTGAGGCGAGTATTCGCGATGTCAGGCGAGTGTTCGTGATGTGAGGCGAATATTCATGATGTGAGGCGAATATTCGCGATGTGAGGCGAGTGTTCGTGCTGTGAGGCGAGTATTCGTGCTGTGAGGCGAGTATTCGTGATGTGAGGCGAGTATTCGTGATGTGAGGCGAGTATTCGTGATGTGAGGCGAGTATTCGTGATGTGAGGCGAGTATTCGTGATGTGAGGCGAGTATTCGTGATGTGAGGCGAAAATTCGTGATGTGAGGCGAGTATTCGTGATGTGAGGCGAGTATTCGTGATGTGAGGCGAGTATTCGTGATGTGAGGCGAGTATTCGTGATGTGAGGCGAGTATTCGTGATGTGAGGCGAGTATTCGTGATGTGAGGCGAGTATTCGTGATGTGAGGCGAGTATTCGTGATGTGAGGCGAAAATTCGTGATGTGAGGCGAGTATTCGTGATGTGAGGCGAGTATTCGTGATGTGAGGCGAGTATTCGTGATGTGAGGCGAGTATTCGTGATGTGAGGCGAGTATTCGTGATGTGAGGCGAGTATTCGTGATGTGAGGCGAGTATTCGTGATGTGAGGCGAGTATTCGTGATGTGAGGCGAGTATTCGTGATGTGAGGCGAGTATTCGTGATGTGAGGCGAGTATTCGTGATGTGAGGCGAGTATTCGTGATGTGAGGCGAGTATTCGTGATGTGAGGCGAGTATTCGTGATGTGAGGCGAGTATTCGTGATGTGAGGCGAGTATTCGTGATGTGAGGCGAGTATTCGTGATGTGAGGCGAGTATTCGCGATGTCAGGCGAGTGTTCGTGATGTGAGGCGAATATTCGTGATGTGAGGCGAATATTCGCGATGTGAGGCGAGTGTTCGTGCTGTGAGGCGAGTATTCGTGCTGTGAGGCGAGTATTCGTGATGTGAGGCGAGTATTCGTGATGTGAGGCGAGTATTCGTGATGTGAGGCGAGTATTCGTGATGTGAGGCGAGTATTCGTGATGTGAGGCGAGTATTCGTGATGTGAGGCGAAAATTCGTGATGTGAGGCGAGTATTCGTGATGTGAGGCGAGTATTCATGACGTGAGGCGAATATTCGTGATGTGAGGCGAATATTCGTGCTGTGAGGCGCGTATTCGTGATGTGAGGCGAGTATTCGTGATGTGAGGCGAGTATTCGTGATGTGAGGCGAGTATTCGTGATGTGAGGCGAGTATTCGTGATGTGAGGCGAGTATTCGTGATGTGAGGCGAGTATTCGTGATGTGAGGCGAGTATTCGTGATGTGAGGCGAGTATTCGTGATGTGAGGCGAGTATTCGTGATGTGAGGCGAGTATTCGTGATGTGAGGCGAGTATTCGTGATGTGAGGCGAGTATTCGTGATGTGAGGCGAGTATTCGTGATGTGAGGCGAGTATTCGTGATGTGAGGCGAGTATTCGCGATGTCAGGCGAGTGTTCGTGATGTGAGGCGAATATTCGTGATGTGAGGCGAATATTCGGGATGTGAGGCGAGTGTTCGTGCTGTGAGGCGAGTATTCGTGCTGTGAGGCGAGTATTCGTGATGTGAGGCGAGTATTCGTGATGTGAGGCGAGTATTCGTGATGTGAGGCGAGTATTCGTGATGTGAGGCGAGTATTCGTGATGTGAGGCGAGTATTCGTGATGTGAGGCTAAAATTAGTGATGTGAGGCGAGTATTCGTGATGTGAGGCGAGTATTCGTGATGTGAGGCGAGTATTCGTGATGTGAGGCGAGTATTCGTGATGTGAGGCGAGTATTCGTGATGTGAGGCGAGTATTCGTGATGTGAGGCGAGTATTCGTGATGTGAGGCGAGTATTCGTGATGTGAGGCGAGTATTCGTGATGTGAGGCGAGTATTCGTGATGTGAGGCGAGTATTCGTGATGTGAGGCGAGTATTCGTGATGTGAGGCGAGTATTCGTGATGTGAGGCGAGTATTCGTGATGTGAGGCGAAAATTCGTGCTGTGAGGCGAGTATTCGTGATGTGAGGCGAGTATTCGTGATGTGAGGCGAGTATTCGTGATGTGAGGCGAGTATTCGTGATGTGAGGCGAGTATTCGTGATGGCAGGCGAGTATTCGTGATGTGAGGCGAGTATTCGTGATGTGAGGCGAGTATTCGTGATGTGGAGCGAGTATTCGTGATGTGAGGCGAGTATTCGTGATGTGAGGCGAGTATTCGTGATGTGAGGCGAGTATTCGTGATGTGAGGCGAGTATTCGTGATGTGAGGCGAGTATTCGTGATGTGAGGCGAGTATTCGTGATGTGAGGCGAGTATTCGTGATGTGAGGCGAGTATTCGTGATGTGAGGCGAGTATTCGTGATGTGAGGCGAGTATTCGTGATGTGAGGCGAGTATTCGTGATGTGAGGCGAGTATTCGTGATGTGAGGCGAGTATTCGTGATGTGAGGCGAGTATTCGTGATGTGAGGCGAGTATTCGTGATGTGAGGCGAGTATTCGTGATGTGAGGCGAGTATTCGTGATGTGAGGCGAGTATTCGTGATGTGAGGCGAGTATTCGTGATGTGAGGCGAGTATTCGTGATGTGAGGCGAGTATTCGTGATGTGAGGCGAGTATTCGTGATGTGAGGCGAGTATTCGTGATGTGAGGCGAGTATTCGTGATGTGAGGCGAGTATTCGTGATGTGAGGCGAGTATTCGTGATGTGAGGCGAGTATTCGCGATGTCAGGCGAGTGTTCGTGATGTGAGGCGAATATTCGTGATGTGAGGCGAATATTCGGGATGTGAGGCGAGTGTTCGTGCTGTGAGGCGAGTATTCGTGCTGTGAGGCGAGTATTCGTGACGTGAGGCGAATATTCGTGACGTGAGGCGAATATTCGTGATGTGAGGCGAATATTCGTGCTGTGAGGCGCGTATTCGTGATGTGAGGCGAGTATTCGTGATGTGAGGCGAGTATTCGTGATGTGAGGCGAGTATTCGTGATGTGAGGCGAGTATTCGTGATGTGAGGCGAGTATTCGTGATGTGAGGTTAATATATGAACGAACTGATTGGTGAGGGAACAGTGAGCTACACACCAAGTAGGAGGAGAGACGTACTTAAAGCCCCAGTAGAAAGAGCCGTTGGGGTCGGGAATGCCATTGGAGTTGGTGGTCTGGTAATCTGGTAACCAGTTGGCGAAGAGGGTGGTGGTGCCGAGACCAGTCAGGCCGGCTGCCAGGGTGTGGGAGTGAGTGAGAGTGAGAAAGTGGCCGTTAGAGAAAGGGACTGGAAGTTGGGAGTGGAAGGGATTGGGAGTGGGTGGAAGAGGGGTAATGGAAGAGAGTGCGAGGAACGGATCGTCAGCCATGCGGACTGGAAGACGTCAAAAGTCGACTTTTGATATGTCTCAAAGGAAGAGAGTGCGAGGAATGGATCGAGGCACATGGCAGGTCGCGGCACTCCTGGTCGTGACTCGGATCGGAATGTGCTTCAATCCGGTTCAAAAGAACACCTCCTGGTGATTCAGCTTTAAGAGACAGGTTGACCCGGCTTTAAGATGTAGACAGAGAAGAAGAGCGAGCTTACCCAGCTGTTGAAGCAGCTCCAGCATCACAACTCGGAAGGCATCAAAAGGCACACCTAATGGTAACTCGGAGCGGAGGGTGCTTTCAAGTCAGTTCACAATGCACTCGCCTGGTGACTTGGCGTATGGTCTGGTGCGAGGAAGATTTCGATGAGCATGGAGATGACAGTTAGGACAGCCGGGATGATGAAGAGCGCGGAGAAGATACAGCCCATTCTGCTGTTGAAGCAGCTCTAACATTGAATGGCTCACGTGGTGACTTGAAGTGTGTCCCAAGCCAGTTCACGTTGAATGGCACATACCTGGTGATTCAGCATCTAAAGTGAGGAAGATCCCGATGAAACAGCTGTTGAAACAGCTAGCTCTAACGTCAAAAGGTACATCTGGTCACTTGTGCGTGCTTCAAGCCGGTCCCCAATGCACACACCTGGTGATTCAGCGTCTGGAGAGAGGACGATCCCGAAGAAAACTGAAATGACAGCGAGGACAGCCGGGATGATGAAGAGGGAACCAGCCCAGCCCACGTGAGGGTTGGAGGTAGCTCAACACGAGAGGGTTGGAGGTAGCTCAACACGAGAGGGTTGGAGGTAGCTCAACACGAGAGGGTTGGAGGTAGCTCAACACGAGAGGGTTGGAGCTACCTCAACACGAGAGGGTTGGAGCTACCTCAACACGAGAGGGTTGGAGCTACCTCAACACGAGAGGGTTGGAGATAGCTCAACACGAGAGGGTTGGAGCTACCTCAACACGAGAGGGTTGGAGCTACCTCAACACGAGAGGGTTGGAGCTACCTCAACACGTGAGGGTTGGAGCTACCTCAACACGAGAGGGTTGGAGCTACCTCAACACGAGAGGGTTGGAGGTACCTCAACACGAGAGGGTTGGAGATAGCTCCAACATCATGAAGCTCACGTGGTGACTTGGAGTGTTTCTCAGGCCGGTCCACAACGCACACACCTGGCGATTCAGCGTCTGGAGAGAGGAAGATTCCGATGAAGACGGAGATGACAGCGAGGACAGCCGGGATGATGAAGAGCGATCCCACTCGGTCCACCAGATGCACTCCACCAAAGACTATGAGGCAGAGGCATATGGTGGTGATGATGCCGTATGCCTGGTGGGACAGGCAGACAGGAAGGAGGTGGATGGGGAAAGGATCATTGCATGCAGCCGGTACGTATCACTGCAGTGCAGTCAGTGCGGTTCACTCCATGCAGCACAGCGGGAATGCTGAAGAGTGAGCCCCGAAGATGCGGCGGTCCACCAGATGCACTCCACCGAAGACTATGAGGCAGAGGCAGATGGTGGTGGTGATGCCGTATGCGTGGTGGGGACAGGGGAAGACAGGCAATGGCGAGATGGATGGATGATCGCTGCGTTAAGTGCGTATCACTGCACAACTCTGTCCATGAGGTGCCCACCACCATAGACTAGGAGGCAGAGGCAGATGGTGGTGGTGGTGATGATGCCGTATGCCTGGTGGCAGGACAGGGTGGGGGGGTGGGGGTGACGATAAGGGAGAGGAGGGTGGTGCTTGACATGGTTGACCTAGTACACCTGCGTTGACCTAGTTGACCTGCGTTGACCTAGTTGACCTGCGTTGACCTAGTTGACCTGCTTGACCTAGTAGACCTGCGTTGATCTGCTTGACTTGCATATCCTGTGAATTATTTGGTCGCATAACCATCACCACACCTACCTACCCTTCCAGCTCACCTGCGGTCTACCGTTTCCACCATGCCCACCTGCATGTCGTGTCTCGACACCGACAGCACCGTTTCTGCTGCTGTGGGTGCAGCAGCCATGGTGCCGTTGATAGCAGCTTCAGTCGCGTTCTCTGCCACTGTCACGGCTTTTCAGTCAACTCAAAACCCACCTGCATGTCGTGCCTTGATACCGACAGCACCGTTTCCGCTGCTGCAGGTGCAGCAGCCATGGTGCCGTTGATAGCAGCTTCAGTCACATTCACTGCTGCCTGCACCGTTACGGTCATAGCTTGCGCTGGGGAGAAACAAATGCATGGAGAAAGAGGGAGATCACATGACATGCCGCATCACATGACATGCCGCATCACATGACATGCCGCATCACATGACATGCCGCATCATATGACATGCCGCATCACATGACATGCCGCATCACATGACATGCCGCATCACATGACATGCCGCATCACATGACATGCCGCATCACATGACATGCCGCATCACATGACATGCCGCATCACATGACATGCCGCATCACATGACATCATGCATGTTGTTCTAAAGGTGTGTGATTTTTTAAAAAGGCGCATGATTATTGAAAAGGCACATGACTATTAAAAGGGTGCATGATATTTGATTGAAAGGAGCTTAATTTTTGAAAGGCACATAATTTTCTTAAGGCGCATGAACTTTGAAACGTGCATGATATTTTTAACGACCCAAAGCGTATGCCGTGCAGATATTTTCAGGAGAGAATAGAGCAAGCATGAGAAGGCTGCCCGAATTATGCAGCCCCCGTTAAACTGGTACTAAGGAGATCTATAGGCAACAGCAGAGGTGTTTTTCAAGAATTAGCAAGACCCGCCTACACAAAAAAGTTCAAAAGCAATGACAGAAAACCAGGTTTCAGGCCAAGGAGGGAGTGAAAGGCGAGAGGGAGTGAAAGGCGAGAGGGAACACACGTGGAAAAAGAGCCATTTGGGGCATGGCGTCAAGAAGAGTTTCCACTGCCCCCAGAATGTAGCTGCGAGGGGAGGGGGAGGGAAGAATTGGAGAAGCGGTGAGGGGAGAGGGGAGAGGGGAGAAGAGGAGAGGAGACATGTGTTGGAGAGAGCCATTTGGGGCATGGCATGGCATGGAGAAAAGTCTCCACCGCCCCCATAATGTAGCTGCAAGGGAAGGGGGACGGGGGGAAGGGAGAAGAGAAGAGGGGTGAGAGGGAGGAAGTGAAAGGAGGGATACGGGACGCACAAAGGAAAGAGAACAATTTGAGGAATGGTGTCAAAAGAGTTTCCACAGCCAGCAAGACTGCTCCAATTGACCCTGTTGACTTCACTGACTTCGGTTGACTCACAGCAATCCACCAATGGCATTCCCGAAGAAGAAGCAGAGGCCGATGCTGACACAATGACCCTTTCTGTGGCGTTGATCCAATGGACTGCAATGAACCCCATTGACTTCATTGACTGCATTGACCCCCAATGACTTTGACATCATTGACTCCGTTTGACTCACAGCGATCCACCAATGGCATTGCCGAAGAAGAAGCAGAGACCGATGCTGACCGCATTGACCTTTCCATAGCATTAACCCTGTTGACTTGTGTTGACCATTCGTCATGACATATCCCTGTTGACTTATTTGACTCCGGTTGACTCACAGCGATCCACCAATGGCATTGCCGAAGAAGAAGCAGAGGCCGATGCTGACCCCCACTTCTGGTCCCAGGGCACGACCGATGAGGTAGTAGGGACCTCCGCCCTGAGGGCGTTGAGGTATGGGGGTGAAGGGGCATGGGGGGAATGGGCGGGCATGGGATGGGATGTGGAAGAAGAAGAAGCAGAGGCCGATGCTGACCCCCAACTCGAGGCCCAATGCACGGCCGATGAGGTAGTAGGGACCTCCGCCCTGGGGGGTATATGGGGCATGGGGCATGGGGCATGGGGCATGGGGCATGGGGCATGGGGCATGGGGCATGGGGCATGGGGCATGGGGCATGGGGCATGGGGCATGGGGCATGGGGCATGGGGCATGGGGCATGGGGCATGGGGCATGGGCTAAGTTGCGGAAGACGCAAGAAGCGTCTTGCGTCTAGCGTCTAGACGCAGCGTCTAGACGCTAGACGCAAGACGCAGAATTAGACGCAAGACGCTTGGCAAAAAAAATTTCGGGCAGCCCGAAAAAAAAAAATCCGCGCGCGAAATTGAATTTCGCCATTTCGACGCAAAATTCAATTTCGCGTTTTTCAAACCCCTCCCCACCCATTTCGACCCCACAAACAGGTCCTCCAACAAATTTGAAGGCCCCCCACCCCAAATTGAACACTTACCACTCTTCACCACTCACTATCTACAAAACCCAACCTTCATGGTAAACCACCAAGAGGTTGAGGAGCACAAATCCCTCACTTGTGCTCCCCAACCTTCATTTCTTTCAATTCTCTTTCGTAAACCCTAAGGGTTTAGCTCTTACCTCCGCGCAAGCAACTATGGCTTCTTCTAGTGGTAGTGGCGCTTCGTCTAGTAGTTCCTCCTCCGCGAGCGAGAATGCCGTCGGCGAGGGTTCTTCCGCTCGTGTTTCCAAGGAAATGGAGGGTATTGAGAAGAAATCTAAGTTTCCCGAGCACCCGATCTACAAGCACTATTATTTTTTCTCGGACCCGAAGAAGAAGGGCGAGCAAGTCGAGTGCCTTTTTTGCCACAAGAAGTTCTCGTTTAGTAGTAGCCGCACTCCCGAGCATCTCGCCGAGTGGCACGACCCGCATCGGCGCCGCGAGGCGGGAGTCGTTTGCAACAAGGTGCCGAAGGAGATTTCATCGGAGATTTGCGAGATGTTCGAAGCCAAGATTCGGGCGCGCAACCAAAAGGCGCGGGCGACAAGTGCGGCGATCGCGGCGGTGAGCGGCACGAGCGAGGCGGGAGGGAAAGGGAAGCGCGGGCACATGGAGGACTTCTACGGCGAGGGCGGACTTGCGGCGAGGCGGGCGGCCGACGAGGCGATTGTCCTCTACCTCGCGGGGACGCGCACGTCGGAGGCGCAGTGCGAGCACCCGCTCTTCCTCAACATGCTGCGAGCCGTCACCGCTGCCGGCTCGGGCTATGTGCGCGACCTTGTGTATGTTGCGCACAACTGGAACGTTGTGCACACATTCCACAAGGATGCGGAAGCGGGGCCTAGTGTGGTGGGAAGGAAGGGTGCAGTGGTGGAGGGGAACATCCCCCCCCCTCCCCTCCCTGAGGGGTACAAGTTGGAGGAGGATGGGGAGATGGAGGCGGACGAGGACGACGTGTGCCTCGATGAGTGGCAGACGCAGGAGGAGCTGGAGAAGGAAGGGGAGGGGGAGGAGGAGGAGGAGGAGGAGGACGAGGAGGAGGAGGAGGAGGACGACAGCTAGGAGGCGTAGTGTTTGCTGCTGAGATTTGTAGTAATAGTACTGGATTTCGAGCTTGCTACTACTAGAGAGACATCATTGGAAGGTTAACTACTTATGATGCTTTGTGATAACTTTTTTGAAGACTAAGAATGGGGGAAAAAAAAAACTGGTGTGGGGAAAAATACACCCCATTGTGACATAGGTGCATGTTCCCCATCCTCGCCATGCCCCTGAGAACTTTTTTTGGTCTGCCCGAAGTTTTCGTCTAGCACTGCGTCTAATCCAGCCTATCTAGCGTCTAGCGTCTTAGACGCTGCGTCTAGACGGACGCGTCTAAGACGCTAGACGCGTCTTC